ACGGGGATGGGGAAGGAGACGGGGACTGGGATGGGGAGAGGAACGGGGAGAGAAACGGGGATGGGGAAGGAGACGGGGACTGGGATGGGATTGGGCAGGGGCGGGGGACGGGACTGGGATGGTGATAGGGACGGGAATAGGGACTAGGACAGTGATAGGAACAGGGATGGGGATAGGAACAGGGATGTGCACGGGGATAAGGACCGAGATGGGGATGAGGAAGGGGACAGGGATGGAGGCAGGGACGGGATTGGGCCAGGGACGGGACTAAGACGGGGATAGGGATAGGGACCAGGACAGGGATAAGGGAAGGGGACGGGGACAGGGATGGGTGACGGAGATCGGGGACGGGACAGGGACGGGGATACGGACAAGAACAGGGATAAAGGACGGGGACAGGGAGCGGGATGACCAAGGTGACGGAGCTCGGGGACGGGACAGGGATGGGGATAGGGACCGGGACAGGGATGGGATGAACTAGGTGATGGAGATCGGGGGCGGGACAGGGACGGGGACAGGGATACGGGACAGGGAGGGCGATGACGCGGCTGAGGGGGCTCGCGGCCGGGGCCGGGCGGCGCGCGCGGGACGCACCAACCGCCGCACGCTGCGCGCGCACGCGCGCGGGGCCCCGGCGCGCGCCTCTCCGCCCCCACCCCCGCCGTCCCCGCTCGCCCTTGCCCGCCCGGCCCCGCCCCCTCCCCTTCGAACGCGGCCGTTGCCGCTCCCCGGCCAATCCCCGCCCGCCGCCGCCGCCGCCCCGGCCAATCGGCGGGCGGCACGGCGGGGGTGACGCAGGGAGTTTTTTCCCGTGACGCGCAGGTGCGTACGCGGGGCCGGCGCGCGGCGGCGGCGGTCACGTGGTGCGGCCCCGCCGCTGCCAGCGCCGCGCGTCCCGAGCGCGCTCCGGCCGCCGCCGCTCCCCCCGCGCCCCCCGCATGTCGCTGGCGCCGCGCCCCGCGCCCCCACAGCCGCCCGCCGCCGCCCTCCGCCGCAGCCGCCGCCCTTGATGTGGTTCGGGGCCGGGCGGGGGAGAAGATGCCGCCGTCCAAGTCCCGCAAGATCGCGATCCTGGGCTACCGGAGCGTGGGTGAGCGCGGCGCGGGTTTCGCGGCGGGGGTGCGGGCGAGTGCCGCCGCGTCGCCCTCCCCGGCGGCGGCGGCGGCGGCGGCGGCAGGTGCAGCGGAGGCAGCGGCGCTTCCCGCCGCCCCGAGCGCGCAGCCGCGGCCCGAGGGAGGGAGCGAGGGAGGCCCCGCCATGGCGGCGCCGCAGAGCTGCGGGCCCGCGGCCGCCGTGCCCTTAATAGGAAGTTTCGCCCCCCGCACTGCCCGAGCGCAGCCCGGCGAAGCGGGATCGGGCGAGCTGCGGAGAAGGCTCCTTCCCCGCCCGCCCGGCGCTCCGTACGGAGCGAGCCCGGAGAAGGGCAGCGGAGCTGGGGAAGGGGCTGGAGCGCGTGTCCGGTGAGGAGCAGCCCGGAGGAAAGGAGGCTCAGAGAGGCCTCGTCGCTCTCCACAAGTCCCTGACAGGAGGGTGCAGCCAGGTGCGAGTGGGCTCTGCTCCACGGCAGCCAGCGATAGGACGTGAGGACACGGTCTTCAGCTGTGCCGGGGGAGCTTTGGGTTGGACACCAGGGAGAATCGATTCTCAGAAAGTGATCGGACACTGGAATGGGCAGCCCAGGGAGGTGGTGGAGCCACCGTCCCTGGAGCTGTTTAAGCAGACTGGACATGGCACTCAGTGCCGTGGTTGACACGGTGATGTTGGGTCTCGGAGCACTTTCCGAGCCTCGGTGGTTCTGTGCTTTAGAAGCAATTTGAAGTGCTGGGGAGGCCAGGCGGGTCCGTTGCCCGTTCTGCCCCGGGGAGGTGTCGGTGCGGCAGCGCAGCCGCTGTTCCGAGGGGCCGCCGCGCCTCCGGCTGTCCCCAGCACGGCGCTGCTGGGACAATCCAGCTCGGGCTCATCCGCTGGGACGAGCTTCCTGGAAGCGTCCAGCACGAGTCTGCAGCAGCTGATAGAGGGTTTTGTTCATAGCAAACGGTGTGATCCTGCATTCGCTGTCTTTGATGGAGAACGGTTTCAGATGTTTCAGCTTTCGGGTTCTTGAAGCGGGAGGGAAACAAGCTGTAGTACAGCCGGTGCTAATCGATCAAACTTAAAAGCATAGATCAATGTGGAAGATAATGTGTGGTTGGAGGGGAAAAGGAAGATGTTACAGAGAGATACTACTCTGATATAGATGAGGTTTTTGCACTGAAAGCTATATCAGTAATTTGTCTTACATGGCACACAGCATAAAGAACCCTTTAAAAAAGCTTTTTTTAATATAAAAATAGGCCTAAATAAGGAGAGCTTTTTCTTGCATTTTGTGCATAGCTGCAGCCAGGTTGGTGTTAAAGGGATTGATGAATTTGTCCAGTCCATAAACAGAACAGTGAGTAGTAGATTGATCAGTTTGCATAGTCCGTATGACATCACTTGTTGCAGTGTGTTCATTGTCTTGTGTGTTATGTTTTCCTTCTTTGAGCACTGGTGGGAGCAAAGCAATGGGCAGTGTAAGTGGGAAGGGGGAATGCTTGAAATTCTGTCCTTTGGAAGTCTGTGGTGGGGACTGGCTGTACTGTTGAGCTTTGGTCCTTCATCTGTTGATGCTGACAAGCAGCAGTCAGGAAATCAGATATTAGTAGAGTGTAGGACCAGCTGAGGAGAAACAGAGAAGTAGTATAATGTTAGTTTGGTTGGTGATGTGAGCAGTAGTACTCGTGGAAAGGATGACCAAAATGTTACCTAACTGATAAGACCTACTGCTGAACTTCTTTAACTAAATTTTCTGGGACTAGTGTGGAATTGGGCTTGATAGGACAAGAGCAATTTTATTAGGAGAACTACAGGTTGTAGGAACATAGAGTTAAGAGTAAGTGAAAAATCTGGTTTACTGGAATTTTCCTTTCATTGTCATTAAATTTCTCAGCTAATACTTAGGTAGAAGTTCAAGCAGTAGAAATGGGCCTTTGGGGTCCTACTTCCATCTTGTAAAGCTGTTAGAAAAGCAGGAAGGTTAACCTGTAAGATATAAACTGTCCTCTGCTTCCCCAAATATCCTCCTAAAGTGTAGTAGGATGGGGACTGAGACTTCAGGGAAACTTGTCATTAAGTCTTGCTTTGTATTATGATGATGAGGATATCACTTGAACCCTGGGTAAGAAAGGATATTATCTCATTTTAGGACAAGTATTTGGGTGGTAGAAAAGGAAGTACGTTTCTTTTGGAGGAAATGCTGCATTGTATAGAGGTAATGCTCATTAAAGTGGGGAAAAAAATCCAGAATCTGAAGGATTGGAAGGAAATGCTTTCTACATTTCCTTTTGTAATTAGAGAACGACATTGTTTTGCTATTAACATTAATCTTGACCCTGGAATTACGGAGGTTAACTTTGGTGAGTTGTAAAATGTTTATATTTTCATAGGTTGACCCTAAATGCTTAGGT